AACCTGTACTAGAGCGTTGCTGGACGTCCTCAAGCTGTGTGAGGACCTCCAGCGTCGCTCAATTCCCCATAAGAAAGCATTGAAAAACATTTTCAATGCTTTCCTATGGGGAGCTCTAATGCGCATGCGCGGCATTGGCGCGCATGCACATTAGGTCTCCCAGGCCGGTGGGCGGGATCAGTCTCACCCACCGGCTGACGTAATGCAGAGGAGGAGCGGTGGTGGAGCGAGAAGCCATGTCCCACGTCGCTGCCTCTGGTAAGTCACTGAAGGGGTTTTCACCCGTTCAGCAACCGGGGATTGGGAGGGAGAAGGGACCTGCATCCATTTTCCTGGCACTGGAGTTTCCCTTTAAAGTATGGTTTTAGATGACATTTTGAGGCTTCCTGATTTCTGGTCACAAAATGTTGGCCGAATATGGTCCATCTTGGAAACAGCCAAATGGGAGTGCTAACTCGAGATCATGGAGGTACATTAACAAAAAGCTGAATATATGTTTGTTCAGTTACACAGCAGTTTGGTTAGACCACGTTGTAAATTTTGCTACTGACCTACCCCTTCTCTATATTCAACACATTTTAACAAGGGACAGGGATTTTCATGCTTTACCAAGTTTCCACCGCAAAGACTCATAAACTGAAATGCTAAACAAACCGTCGTCTTCTACTATGCTCAGTATAAAAGGGAAATGATCTAAATGATATGTTCTGGTCTATGTCATTACAACCCACGTGGCAGCTCTGCCTGTTTGGAATGGGATCTTCCAATTACACCTTGATACCACCCACATAGCAGGATTCAAAACAAACAGACCAAGATTCATTCATCTCTCCCCAGCAGATGGGACTGATCGGCCTTCACTTGCCATATCAGATCTCTTGCCATCAAGCACGGGTTAAAACCAACACTTGCCTATTAGGTTTCCATGAGATGGAAGGATGAAATAAATGAAAGAACAGTTAAGACAATATATTAAGGGAAAAAAAGAGGGCATAACCTCAAATGCAAAGATTTAAAAGGGGGGCCATCACTTATCTTGAAATTAAATCAATGCATAAGATATTGAAATAACCTACAACTTATGCTACCTTTATATGTGATGCTTTTTTTTCTTTAAACGTACATTAAAGATTTAGAAATTGATACATACCTCCCAAGTGTCCCTAATTAGCATTGGTAGTCCCGGTTTTGGACCCACACCCCTCTGTCCCTCTTTTCTATCCTAATGTCCCTCTTTTCTAGGAACTCCATATTATTGGTGTGTCTGAGTGTATAACATAGATCCGCAGCAATGTGTCTTTAAAGAAAAACTATAGCGTCAGGAATACAAACACTATTTTCAGTGATAGAAAAAGCGAGAGGTTAAAGTTTTAGGACAGGGGTAAACACTGTCAGGGATATTTATTAAATACCAAATTTTAGCAAATGAAATTTGAATGGGAACATTCTCCAACTCATCTGTAGTCATAGAGCAAACTATTTGTTTTAACCTCACTTTTGCATAGTGCCTATCATTTGTTAAAATTCCTGTTCTGTGAGTAATGCTAAATATTGTGGATTTCTAACATTCATTCCAGTGTCAAACTACCCAGTGCTTCACATTCTACCTCTGGGAAACACATTTGCAGGAATGCAGTATGAAGTCTGAAACACGATGCCTGTCTATGCTCATTTGCATGTAAAGAAGGGAATTCTGGGATCATGGTGGAAACATGATTTCTCGAGTTTCTATGCACAAGAAGGACTTCTCAAAGTCCAACTTGACATATGCAGGTAAACCATAAGAGTAAATATTGTATTTGGGGAAAAACAGACAGTTTCCACCAGTGAGAAGAAATGTTGCAATTACTGTGAATAATTATGCAAACTACATATGGATGATTTCTCCCAACCATTTTAGAAAGCTAAGCCAAGTCAAAATCACACATATTTTTTAGCAGACTAATATTTACACTTTTTTACTAGAACTGTGTACTACAAACAATTCATGGTGTTCTTTATTTCTCTTATTAAAGGACCACTATAGTGGCAGGAAAACAAACTCGTTTAAAAGTCCTTAGGTCCCCCCCACCCTCATAGCCCCCATCATAAAACCCATTTAGCCACTTATCTTTATGCAGCGCCGGGCTCCCACGGCGCTGGTGACCTCTCCTCCCCCTCCGACGTTGGCTCCCGAGTAGAGCCGCGCGCATTAAAAATGCTCATAGGAAAGCATTACTCAATGCTTTCCTATGGACATCAGCATCTTCTCACTGTGATTTTCACAGTGAGAATCGCGGAAAGCAGCCTCTGGTGGTTGTTAGTGAGAGGCTGGATTAACCCTATTCTCTGAAACTGCTATGTTTTCAGCTGCAGGGTTAAAACTAGAGGGACCTGGCACCCAGACCACTTCATTGAGCTGAAGTGGTCTGGGTGCCTTTAGTGGTCCTTTAATTAAAATGTAGGTGTATACTCTGAGATACTACAGCTGGAGCTCTATCTTCTGAACTCTTTCACTTGCTGTCACGACTTAGCACATTTAGAAAGAATTAATACAGGACATACAGAACAGAGGCAAATATTTTTTGTGGTGTTTGTCCATGTTAGCGGATTCCACATTGCAATTTATTCACTAAATAATTAGTTGTAGTGAATTGAAAACTGCACGAGTTATATATAGGTCAAAATGGCTGAAATTAAATAAAATCTGCAGAACTGCTATATTTGTCTACCTTGACAACTTTAGCTTAACAAAGTTGTTTTACTGTATAGATCGTGCCCCTGTAGTCTCACTGCTCAATTTTCTTCCATTTGGGAGTTAAATCACATTTGTTTCTGTTTATGTGGAGCTAACCACACCTCCCCTGGCTGTGAAGCACACAGCCTGCATGAAAAAAAAAAATGGTTTCTTTTCAATCAGACATTAACTTGCTTTGGAAGTTTTTATCTCCTGCTCTGTTATCTGAACTTTATTCGCACACTGGAGACTCCTGCAGAGTCTGGAAGAAAAAGCAAGGAAGAGGAAAAGAGGAGATTAGAAATGTTAAATTAGACACACTGTGCAATGAAGGAAGATTAAACATTAGACCTCTCTTTACAGGAAGTGTTTGGGAAGATTGTGCAGTCACATGCACGGAGGTGTGACTAGTGCTGTATAAACAGAGTGATGAAACTCCTAAAAGGCAGAGAATTGAGCAGTGGGACTACAGGGGCATGATCTAACATCAACATGGCTTCATTAAACTAAAGATGTATGGTGACTATAGTGTCCCTTTAAACTAAGCATCTTATGCAGTTTTGAAGCTCATTTTGTCACAGGAATTTATGAGCGCATGCCCATACCCCAACCACTTCTTGTCTTTTTGTAAGGACAATAACAAGCAATGTTATGATTGAACTAATTGTTCAGATGCTCCAGGTATAAATACATAGAATCAGGCTCTGTTCTGTGTTCTTATTGTGTGCATGTCTGGTACACCTGACTTATAATGTTGTAATATTCTAGTGTCCATTGTGTTAGAATACGACAAAGCATGCATTTTTTCTCTCTGGATAGTCTGGGCAATTATAAACTTTTTGGACTTTCTGAAAGGCACGTAGTGTGGTGATTCTAATTAGAGATATACATAAAGCATGCAACACATTAATAAACACTAACCGAAGTATGAACCCAAGCTCCAATGCCCCCTGTAACTTGTGACGTTCAGTAGAATGCTCCAAAAAGCCAATCCGCGAGGTATCTTTCAGTTTGTAACTGCTCTATTTCTATTTCAAGTAACAATCTGCAGAATTAAAAACAAACAGACAAACGAACAACAAATTAAAGCAAAATGAAAGTGAGAGCGTGCAGATTTTATATGTAACCTTCTATCCATTTTGCCCACGTTTTGCCTGCGATGTGTGTTCTTTCAGCAGCTTAACATAGCCTTATTCAATAAACAGTGCTATCTACAAAGAGATACTGTCTGCTACCAGTTTATAAAGCAATTCCCCTCATCCTACGGGCTAAATGGAACCGTTATCTGTGATAAATGATTTATCCCATAAACTCCTTATTGATAACGGTTTATGGGATAAGATCAGACCACGAATTAGAGCAATACATTGAGGTGTGTGCGGGAGGGGTCTACCTGCCCACCAAACAGATTCCGCTGTGAGCTTTTAAGATGAAGATTGTTTTAATTATATACATTCATTTTTTAAGACGTATTTATCACGATAAAAGAAACGTGTAAGAACTGTGAAATAAAATAAACGCCCAACTTGGCCTGTATTTTTTGATCTATTGTTTAATAATAAACGAATAAAATTTTTTATATAGCAATGACATAGTCTGCAGCGTTGCATTCATGTCAAACATCCAGTAAAATTATGGCAGCCGCTGTAGACCTAAATATTTTTCACATATTTCTCACATTGCAGATCGAAGCATCAGTGTCACCAATGTATTCGTCCAAATATAAATATCAGCTGCCTAATCAGCATATCCCAGCTGTACGGAAAGCATGCATGCAGCACCAAAGAGGCTCTGCAGGATCTTAGGTCCAAGTCTAATTTGGCTCCAAAAACTACTAGACAGATTAAAAAAAAAAAAAAAAAGTTTCTATTTACTAATCTCAGACTTCCTAAATCCCATCTAAATTTGCTCTAGTGCAGTTGTGTTTTGCAGTTTTAGAATAATATTGTATTTACTTTTCTTTTTAGAACTTTTCGAAGTAACTATGTTGCAGATATTCTAAATACTGTCACAGATTCACCTTGCCAACAGACATGCAGGGGATCCTAGGCTTATGTTACATAGAGTCTGCAGAATAGAATGTATAACTGCTGCAGGCTGGAACAATTTATTAATTAGGTCTCCCCTTGTATGTTTGGGTTGGGGTTGCATTACACACTGTGAGAGCTGCATGCACAGGGTAGGCTGGCCCTGACTATGGGGGGCTGTCCCACATCCCAATGCTTATTCATTGTCTGCAGTCATTCATCTCACTGCTGCTACAGGAGCAATGTAATAGCCAGCACTGAACAGCAAGGGCTCTGTGATTGGTGGGAACTGGTCTGCTGGGAAAGGAAAAAATAATAATGCATTTAAATGCCATCTGCTTGGAGGAGTTGGGAGCTGAGTATTGATTGCAAGGGGGCTAGGACCCTCAAAAGCAGCAATGAGAAGCTCTGCACAGAGACATCTTCGGTCCCAAATAGGCTTCTTCCCTTTCTGCACATGCTGATCCACAGTGAATCAGAGCTTACCTATAGCTTCAGCACTTGGGAGGAAAGATTTAAAAAATAAAATCTAAAAAGAGAGTGAGGGGGGCTGGGTGCAGTAGGGATACTTGTTGATGTAAAATCCAGCTTTGAACATGGAATTGTCCTCCCATTATCCCAGGACCTCATCCTGCAAAGGAATCTGCAGCTGAAGGTAAGCAAAGTGTGATTATGTAATGTTATTTAACTCTTAGAATGTCAGGTGGAGTGTTGAGTGAGTTGTGTGGTTAATACAATGTATCATTTGCCCACTTGGGGAATAATTTGGGCTGTTTGAATACTGTTCTGTTAAACTGTGTGTTTTAAAGACTATGTGCGTTTTTTAATTGCAAATGTGGGTTTAGCAGAGTCCCTGCAAGGCTTGCAGAGGGGAATTTGCTAAATCTGTTGTTTTTTGGCACAGGTCTGATACCAGGTGTTTGATTAGAGTCTGGGCTACAGGGGCAGGCTGCAGCTAAGTTTAGAAGTGGGGACTTGTGTCAGGTTACAGTCTGTAGGAGGTGAGTTAGGGTAGTGTGAGGGGTGTAACAAATGGTGGTCTTATTAACTTTCAGGTCAGGGAGTATTTTATCTCTGCATAATTAATACCTTTTTTTGAGCTGTAGGACTAATAAATGGCACTGAAATATAAAATGACTATTTGTCCTTTAAGAAAAATGACTTTGTATTGCTGCCCAATGAGAAAGTGTTTGGGAGGAAAATTGTGCATTAGACAGGCAGACACAGGCTTGGAGTGCCTGGGGGAGTACTGTAGTTTTAATGAACTATTTTTACTTTTTATACATACCTGGAGGGTTTTCAGTAAATAATAGTGTTTCAGGAGAAAAAAAGTTAAATCCTTGGGTGACTTAGTCCAGTCTGCACTGGACTCCCTTAGTAAACTAGGAATTTTTGCTTGCAATTATGGCAAAAAATAGTTGAGATGGAACTTTTTTTCTTTTTTGCCACTTTGGCCCAACACTTACAAGTCCTTGTCCGTAAATCACCATTTTCTACACCGGTTGCGCAACACTTAGGCTTGCTTAGTAATATGTTTTAAAAACTATACCGATTTGAATAACAGTGACTCGGTCTGCATTTGAATTGACTGGGTTTATAGAAAAATAATGCCTCTTTTTGTGTTTTCATATGATCGGCCCAGCTTAATTCTTAGATCAGGAACTGTCCTGAATCTCTCAGCCAATCCATGCTTTCCATGGTTTGATTACTGTCTCTGTTTTGATGTCATGGGGGGGTCACTATAATGCCGACAAGCTACGTCATACAAGTGGATGGAAGTTTTTAGAGACTTCCATTAATTGTGTCCCCTTTCAACACATTAGATCAGGGGTAGGCAACCTTTCACACCATAGGTGTTGTGGACTACATCCCCCATTATTCTCTTAAACCCATAAGGCTGGCAAAGCATCTTGGGAGGTGTAGTTCAAAACATCTGGAGTGCTCAATGTTACCTATGCCTGCATTAGATCATGAATTTCTAGGATATTGACCAGTGTGTCTCAGTGGTGGGTGAGTGCTTCTTATTGTAAATGAGACTTGAGGTATTATTCCCTAAATAGGGCCTAACCAATGAACCGTGGTACATTTAAAAAAAAAAAAAAAAAAGAAGAAATTGGAAAAATTCTACAACTCTGCTTCTGTATTTTATTTTGACGTTTTGCTACAAACCCCTAAGATTTGACAACTGTCTTAATACATTTTGACCACACCAGGATATAGGTAAAGAGTTCTCAGCCAGTCCTGGTGCTCTCAATTCTCATTAGACCAGGGCTGGTTGTGAATTGTCTGGGGAATTTTCAAATTTTTTGCCAAACTTGTGTTCCTTCATGGAAATCTATGAATAAGTTAATGAAAAGTAGCGGACTTTATATGGAATGCACCCTCCCTGCACATAATTGTTGTACTACTACTTGCACGAGCAAGAAGTAACGTGGCTTCCCCTGTGATTCCGTCGAACTTGGAGGCTGGCTTATAGCTGAAACATTTTAATGTCAGGGATGTCCATTTCTGGCTCCCCAGATTAACTAAAAGTCCAAACATTTGGGTGCACTTGACGGACCTAGAATTATGAGTATGGTAGTCCAATGACATCTAGGGGCCAGAGTTTGAGAATCATGCTCACAGGTTTTTATGTGCAGGGAGATGTGGGTAGGCGAGCATGCTTATTGTAAAGTGCATAAATTATTAGTGAAAGTTCATTTAATCCAGGCAAGTAATTTTACCAGGAACTATATGTATTAAAGAATCACTGTAAGCACCAGATTAAAGTGGTTATGGTGCCTGGAATCCGCACGCGCCGGGTCGTCCATCTCTACTAAACGATTTACTCACTGTTTAATTGTAATTTTCAGTACCTGTCCGTCTGAAACCTAACCTCCAATGTTGAAATGGTGAAGGCTATGGTTATAGGTCAGTGAATGAACATCAGCTGAGCACTCTCAGCCAGCTACTGCCCTGATCTCTGGATGAATTGGTATGGCGTGTGGTGGAAGCATCATTGGAGACCAGGGACTAAGAATCTGCTAAATGGCGAGTTAACCTTTCAGTTTCTGTATGGGACCCAGCACCTGCAAACTGAGGGCAACATAACCACTTCAAACCATTAAAGTGGTAATGGTGCCTGCAGTATCCATTTAAAGTTGTCCATGTAGCTGGCTGTTAATGATTTCACTGCCCCTAGAGGTTCTTCTTTCTTTCACTCCAAAAAAACCCCCCACCACACTAGACCTCCTCACACTTTGTCTCAGGATGTCCACCACATGCAAAACCCTATAGGAAAGCATTGAGTCAACGCTTTCCAATCAGGAAGGCCTAATGTGCGTGTGGCCCTCACAAGACATGCGCTTCCCAGATCTTGCTGACATTGCTGAGGGGACCTCGGCACTGAAATCAGGTAAGTGTAAAAAGGTTCTTTTTAACCTTCTCATGGCTGGGCGAGGGAGGGCATTGAGGCAGAGGGCCCTGTAGTGTTAGCAATACAGTTTTGTATTCATGGCGCTATAAGATTCCTTTCATGAATTTGAGAAGTTCTCATTATCAACTTTTTATTTATTTATTTTTTCACCTTTTTAATTTAAATATACTGTAAGAATTATCTCTGAATTGGAAACTTTAGGGAAAACTAGTTAATCCCGGCCATTTGGATTTTAATTTGCTGCAATATGAAGTTATGTGCGCGACCCGCGTTTTCATGTACACCTTGTGATTCTGGAAAATGACTCTACAAATGGAACTGTTGTTAAACTCTGACCCCCTGTCATTCTCTCTCTCTGTGCTGTTTGTGGATTCACTGTCTGTGAAATGATTTCATGTTTTTGCTGATGCAGAATGCAGCCACATTTCTATACCTTTCTCCGCAAAATAATGCAACCTCTGTCCTTTTAAATTCTTTGCATCCCATCTTAATTGCACAGGGTACTGTGGCTTTAATTAACCCCTTCTCTGCCACCGTATCATTGATGTAAAAATGTTAACATGATATTTCTTTGGAACATGTGACACTTGGCTTGCGTACGCATAGAGTAAAGTATTTTATGTCCAGATTGTTGTTTAGACGTGTATGAAAATACTTAGTTACAGATTTATTATTTCTTTGCTGAAATATTGAGGGATGTATTTTTTTTATTTTTTATAAAACCATACTATATTCCTTATTTTGCAAAATTTTACTTGGACTCTCTTTTAATATTAACTTGAAAGTACCATTTAATGTTGCACACCTTAGGGGTGATAAAAATTGGTCCTCTAACTTGCTTATATTTTGATATTAATTTTCTAATATTCATGATGGAAATGTTTTGTTAGACAGGTTCCTAAAAAAAACATTATTATTATTATTATGTCCATAGAATGACCATATAATGTCAGTATAGTGAAATAAATACACTTCTTTGCAAAGTGATCTAGCAATATGTATTAATAGCTGTATTCGACTAACGTCAAGGATCCTTCTTCCCCAACCTTTACTCTCTGGAAGGATTTCGTCTGTCGATTTCATCTCTCTTGCAGATTGAAGCCTGTGGAGAGACTTCTTAATTTTTCACTAGAATGAAAAATCATTCCTGGCATATATAGGAAGTTGAATGGGTCTTTGGAATGCAAATCGAAAGTAAAAACATGTATGCATGGCTTTGGTATGTGCGGATCTGATTTAAGATATTTTTCTTTCATTGGGAAAAGGGAATCTAAATAGTTGTTGTGAATATTATTAATAAAGCGTCAACAAATTCCATAACGCTGTACAGTGGGTGGACTAATCAACACATATTTGAAACAAGATGAGTTAGACTCACAGAAACAGACGGTGTTGAGGACCCTGATCAAACGAGCTTACATTCAAGATTGGAGTATGGTAAAATATCACAAGAGGGTAAGGGTAGGGTATATTCCATGTAAGGGAAAAGTAGGTCGCTAGACTAGTTTTCAATGAAGGGTTATATATATATATATATATATATATATATATATATATTTTTTATAATTAATTTGTTTTGGATGACCGTTGCAGGAGAGGAAGAAAGGTGGGTTACCAAGGTACTGTGAGGGAGAGCTATTAAAAATTTAGTTGATATGCTTTCCTGAAGTGAGTTTTCAATTTATTATTATTATTATTATTATTATTAGTAAAAACAAAATTTTTTTTTTTATTTTTTTTTAGGAATAGAGACTGGGTGAGTGTCTAATGGAATAGGAAAAGGAATTCTGTAGGACATGTGTAGCCCTAGAAAAGTCTTGAAAGTCACAGTCAGTGGTATGAGTAAAGAGTATGAGTATAACAGAGGATAGATGTAGGTCTCCAGTAGAGCGTCGGGGACATACTTGTGTAATAGTGAGGATAGGTAGGTTGTAGCAGTGTTATGTAGTGACTTGTAGGCACTAGCATTTTAATTTGAGCTCTGTCTTACGGAAGCCAATGTAGGGACTGACAGAGAGGGGGAGTGGGGGGGTGGGGAGGGGGCATGGGAGGTGCAGTCGGACAGAAAGCTTTGTTTTTTTGTTTTTTTTG